ATTGCAGTACAGGACATTACCTTACATTGCATATGTACATGCATACATACATATACATATACACATACATATACATATACATATACGTATACGTATGCGTATGCATATACATCTACATATACGTATGCCTATACATTTACATACACATACACCTACATGCATATATACACACAAATAGACATACATACCTACATATGATACTGGAGAAAAAAACAATCATCATACCTTTAGGGCTATAGTGTTACGGGACTATAGGGCTATAGAGCTATAGGGCTATAGGGCTTTAGGGCTATAGGACTATAGGGCTATAGGGATATAGGGCTACAGGGCTATAGGACTATAGGGCTATAACGCTATAAGGCCATAGGGCTATAGGGCTATCGGACTTTAGGGTTATAGCGCTGTAAGGCTATAGGGCTATCAGGGCTATAGGGCTATAGGGCTATAGGGCTATAGGGCTACAGGGCTATAGGGTCATACAAAGTTATAGGGCCAATTATAGGGCTATAGGACTATAGGGCTACCGGGCACCCGGGCACCCAGGCACCCGGGCTCCGGGGCACTCGGGCGTGCCGCCGAAATCGGCGCCAAACCTCACCTAACCATATGAATCCGCTAGGACCCCTAACAAGAGGCAAGCTCCGATTGCGGCCAAGGGGCCCCGTCCAGGGGGCCCTCGAACGTCGAAGAGTGCCAAAAACAACTGGCGCCATGACTTTTCCACAGCGACGGGAGGTGGGGGGGAGGCACAGAGCTGGCTCGTGTCGTGGCGACCTCGGCGTCAGCTCCTGGCACCGCGTGGACATCGGGCGGCGTCCAAGGAGGGGGCCGTCCGAGGGGGGGGGGTCGCAAAGCACGGCCCGAAGCATGTGCGCGGACGAGGGGGGAACGTAGGAAGAATTGAAAGAAGACACGGAAGAAGAGGAAGTAGAAGAAGAAAAATAACGAAACAAATGATACAGAAGAAGCAGACGAAGAAGAAAAAGAGGGGGCCATGAGATTCCGGGAGACATGATGGCCCCGACCATGATGTCCAGCCCCCTCTAGTCATCACCCTCCTCTTGGCCGCCCCCGAGGACAAAAACCTCCTAGATGGGGTCGGAGTAGATGGGGTTGGAGGATCGCGCCGCATCGCGGATACCTCGGCGATACATCGCCGATGCACCAGTGATGAATCGGCGACATCGGCGCTGCATCGGCGACGCCAGCGTGGAGAAAATCGGGCTCCACACTGAGCTGCATCTCCGATGCATCGGCGATGCGGAGCGATCCTGCGACCCTATCTACTCCGACCCCATCTAGGAGGCTGAGAGAGGATCGTTCTACCTTGCACGCAGGAGAGCCCAGAATCGAATCGAGAAATCGGATCGGCACTCGAAATGAAGGGATCGGCAGAAATCGGCAGCCGAATCGGGAGAAAACGAATCGGCGGGAGTCGGCAGGTTAGTAGGCCTCTAATGAGAAATCGGAATCCAAATCGACATCCGAAGTCGAATCGAATCGGAATCGGAGTCCGTCGAAATCGGATCGAATCTGAGGAGTCGCAATGAGCCCTATGAGCGGTCGTCGGCCTTGCTATCGCCAAATCGCTCCGCACTGGCCGATCCTGGGCCACTGGCGGCGCGCCACGTCAGAGCAGCGCCCGCGCCCGGGTCGAACCTGCCGCGTTGGCGCGGCACGGACCCGCCGCACACAATGGGCCGCAGAGCGGGCGGGAGAAGTCGGCAGCGGATCGGCACATCGGGCCGAAGCTCCGTGTGCGCCGGATCGCGCCACATCGCAAGACGAGGCCAGGACGAGAAAATCGGGTGGGGATAAATAGGGAATCTCTGAAGTTCGGCGGCTCTGGAGGACGTCTCGGGCGCCGCGGCCTTCCAGAACGCGCCGAGAGCGTTCTGGAACGCTCGGCACGGACTTGTCCTCGTCCTGGTGCCGTCCGACGTGCGCCAGATCGGGCCGCATCGGCACGGAGTCGGAAACGAATCGCGTCGGCTGCGCCAGGATGCACAACAGCGCCACGCAAGCACTGAGCCGCACTGGACCGCCGGAACCTTCGGGGGCGGCCAAGAGGGGGGCGTCCAAGAGGGGGGGGCGCAAATCATGGCCAGCGGCCAGCGGCGCGCGCGCGGCCCAGGGGGGACCAGGGACGTATTGAAATGAGAAGAGGCGCCATGAAACCTGGGGAGATCTCATGCCCCCCGCCATTGATCTCCACACACCCCTAGTCATCGACCCCCTCTTCCCAGAGCACCGACGTCATGATTTTTTCGTGACGCGACCCCCAGAGGTCCGGACCGATTCCCCGGGACCGGTTTTTCATCCCGAGTCGTTTTTTCACGGTCCCGAGGGCCGGTAAGGGCCCCCGGAGGCCGAAAATCGCGAAAAACCTCGCGTCGTGATTTCTTCATGACTCGAGGGGGTCTGGGCTTGCCGCCCCCGAAACATCGCAATCGAGAATGATCGGGCCGGCCGGAGCCGATTAAAACAGGGCTAGGATCGGGATAAATCGCTCCAGAGCGTTCTGGAGCGCTCTCAGAGCGTTCCGGAACGCTCTGGAGCGGCCGCGGCGCCCAATACATCCTCCAAACCAGCCGATTCTCAGAGATTTCGAGTTATCCCGATCCGGTTTTGTCCCGATCTTCGCGTCGTTTTACCGATGCCGAAGCCGATCGGCAGGGTCGGCATGGACCCCGGCGGGCCGACCGGGCACGCCAGCACCGCGGGAGGAGCCCGAGCCTCCTCCCCGGCCCCGCGGCGGCACGGCGAGGGGTCCTCCTCTCCTCCCCCCTCCCTCTCCTCCCTCCTCCCTCCCTCCCTCCTCCCTCCTCCCTCCTCCCTCCTCCCTCCCTCCCTCCCCTCCTCCCTCCTCCCTCTCCTCCCTCCCTCCCTCCTCCCTCCTCCCTCTCCCTCATCCCTCCTCCCTCCTCCCTCCTCCCTCCTCCCTCCTCCTCCCTCCTCCCTCCTCCCTCCTCCCTCCTCGGCCCCAGAGCCCCTCGCGAGGCACAGCACCACGACGGGGGAGTCCCTGGCCTCTGCTCGGGCTCCGGGGGCCAGCGCCGAGCCCCGGGCCCGGCAGAGATCGGCTCGGGATGAGAGCGCGGCCCCCGGGGAGGGGGTCGGCACGTCCGGGGCCCGAGGCGTGGACAGAGCAGGGCGTCGGGGGTCTGGGGCAGGCTCGGGGCGAGGACGGGGCGGGGCAGGAGGGCGGGAGGAGGCGGGGCGGCAGCAGCTGGGGAGACCGAGGGGGCAGGAGGGCGAGAAAGAGGACACGACGGAGGAGGAAGAGGAGGAGAACGAAGACGACGAGGTGGAGGTCGAGGAGAGGGGCGGAGATGGAGGAGGAGGAGGAGGAGGAGGAGGAGGAGGAGGAAACAAGGATGTGGGGGCGGGAGAGAAAAATGCCGTGAAAGCAGACCTGGGGGAGGACGAAGAGACGGCGGCGCCGACGACGACGGAAAAGGAAGGACTGGGGGAGGAGCGGGAGGAGAAAGGGGAGCTTTTTGTTTACATATAGGGGGATGAGGAAGGGGAGTGGAGAAGCAGGAGGGGGGAGGACGGGGGGAGCAAAGGCGACAGCCAATGTTCCGAAAAAGCGCGAGCTCAATAAGCGCAGGATCACTACGATCAAGAGCTGCGCACATCCCTTTGCACAAACCTCGTCGACAGGAGCAGCGTAATGGGCCCCAAGCGGCGCGAGGGACGACGACGGCAGGAAAGCCCATAATCGAAACGATAAGTCGGATCGGCGATCGAGATGGATCGGATCGGCGGAAATCGGCAACCGAGTCGGGAGCAGTCGAATCGGCGGGAATCCGCTGGCCCAGTCGGCGCGCGTGAAAAGCCCTTCGACGCGAGGCCAGCCCAACCTAAACTTAGATACGCCAGCCTTCGCTTGATTCGTCGTCGTCGCAAGGGAGACCGAACAAACACGGGGAACCGAACAAGTTCGTAAGGCAAAGCCCTTCCCCCCCACGGAGGGGGCTCCTGGGGGCAGACCCAGGGAGTGGTCCCGGGGGGGACTCCAGGGGGGGGGTCCTGGGGGGAGGCCCGGGGTCGTGACCCCCTCCTCCCCCTCTTCCTCCTCCTCCTCCTTCTGCTTTTCCTCCTCCACCGCCTCCGCTTTCTCCTCCACCTCCTCCTCCTCCTGCGTCTCCTCCTCCTCCTCCTCCTCCTCCTCCTCCTCCTCCTCCTCCTCCTCCTCCTCCTCCTCCTCATCATCATCATCATCAGCAGCAGCAGCAGCAGCACCATCATCAGCATCATCAGCATCATCATCATCACCATCATCATCATCATCATCATCATCATCATCATCATCATCATCATCATCATCATCATCATCATCATCATCATCATCATCATCATCATCATCAGCATCATCATCATCATCATCATCATCATCATCAGGAGCATCAGCATCAGCATCATCATCAGCAGCAGCATCATCATCATCATCATCATCATCATCACATCATCATCATCATCATCATCATCATCATCATCATCATCATCATCATCATCATCATCATCATCATCATCATCATCATCATCATCATCATCATCATCATCATCATCATCATCATCATCCTTGTCATCAACCCTCCCTCCACCGCCCGCCACAAGTCCCGAGCCTGTGGCCGTCGTTGTTGTTGTCGTCGTGGTCGTCATCATCGTCGTTGTGGTCGTCATGGTGGTGGTCGTCGTCGTCCTTCTGGGTCGGCGGTACCAGCCGTAAGGCCTTCGCAATCGGCAGGTTAAGAAGCCTCCACTGAGAAATCGGAATCCAGATCGGAATCCGAAGCCGAATCGAGTCGGAATCGGAAGCCATCGAAACCGAATCGAATCAGATCGGAGGAGTCGAAGGGAGCCCCGCGACGGTGGCGACGATCCTGCGACGGTGATGCCGAGCAGTGCTCTGCGCGGGGAGAGCCCCTGGGAGCTGTCGTCTCCTCCCCCCTGCTGTGCTCGCTGCGGTGCCCCCGGGCCGGCCGGCCGCGCACCACCAGGGCGTTCGCGGGGTGCATCTTCCTCGCCTCCTCCGGGCGGCTGCACTGCCACGAGAGGAGTCGAGACGCAGCAGGAACGGACGTGCATGCGGAGGACGACGGCAAAGACGACTACCGGGGGGGGAGGAGGAGGAGGAGGAGGAGGAGGAGGAGGAGGAGGAGGAGGAGGAGGAGAACACCGCGGCGTCGGGGTTCTCCTCCGGCGTGGCCTCGTTCGTCGTCGAGGCGGCGGGAGGGGGGGGGGGCCGGGGGGGGGCTGCGCCGAGGCGAGGGGAGGAGGAGGAGGAGGAGGAGGAGGAGGAGGAGGAGGAGGAGGAGGAGGAGGAGGAGGAGGAGGAGGAGGAGCCGCAGTGGCAACCAGAGCGTCAAGCAGCAGCGGCCTACCACTTTCCCCTTCCGCAGTCTCCCCTCGTCTGGCTTCTGCTGGTCCCACCTTCCCTTGGTAAGTAAGGAGTTGTTTGAAGGAGTTGGTTTTGTCCAGCGTCTTCTTCCCATTGGTGGCGAGATGCACAGTCAACCCGTATCATAAGGATGCAAAATAAGGACGCCGGGGCCTTGGAAGGCCATGTCGAAGCTTCTCGAGCGGGGCGCGGCAAATGAAAGTGGCCAAGGATGGACCGAGGAGGCAAGGATGCAAGGGTACCCTTGGGAACGTTGCACATCCTTACCATGCGGGTTGACTGTACCTGCTCTTATACCCCCTTTCCCTGCGTCTGACGGGGGAGTTGCGGGACGCGCTAGAGCGTCCAAGGCTGTCCAAGAGGGCCCCAAGAGGGCCCTGAGATCTCCAGATGACACCAAATAATGCACAGAGTAGCGCAAGATGGCGCAAGATAGCTTCCATTATGCCTCCAAGAGGCGCCATGACCAGACCCCACGAGCGCCGTAAGAGGGCCCGAGGAGGCAACGCTTCGGCCTCCGAGCGGGGGGGAGAACCCCGATTCTTTGATCGATGATTTCCAAGATGGCACCAAGAGGGCCCCTACCGCGTCCAAGGTGGCCCCAAGAAGAAAGCCTCAAGAGGACCCCAGGAAGGTCCCAATAGAGCTTCCAAAAGCTTCCAAAATGGCCCCAAGAGGGCCCCACTAGGGCCACACCATGGCCCCTAGATGCCTCCAAGAGGCTCCCAGACCGTGTCTGCATGCTGCTGTACATCCCCGATCAGGGTCATTCGCCCCGTGCTTGTTTTTGGATGAGCTGGTGGTGATTTTTTCCCGTCGCAACCGCAGGCGAAGGCGCGCAGCGGCGTCACAAGTCAGCTCGGGCTACGAGCAAAACTAATTGACATAGCGCGCGCACAGGCGGCTGCAGGACTACCGCCGGGGGGCGCAGGGCTGCGCCGAGGGCTGAGGCTGCAGGAGCTGCCGGGAGCTGCCAGGTGGCCAGGCAAGCGTGCGAGCATCCCACGGACGAGACCACCTGGAAGGATGAATTGGCCCGTGTCGCGCCAGGCGCCAGAGGTCGACGCGCCACTGGCGTGGCGAAGCGCGGGGCAGCATAAACAGACCAACGTGCTAGGCTGCAGGCCAACGGGGATGATCACACATGGCCGACCAAGAAGGCTGAACCACTCTTGAGTAAACCAGTGGGTCCGAGTCTCATCAAACCAGCGGCAACGGCAGACACAGCCAGGCTGTGGCGGTGACTGGAGACCAGAGGCCAAGGAAGTGCAAGCACTCGAGCTGGAACTGGTCAAAGCGCACGTCACCTGAACGCCAGGGTGCCTCACCCGACTCCACGGAACCAGAATGAGTGCCACAAGCGCGAGGGACTGAACGGGGTCGCACACAGCCGATGGGATGAGGTAGCTGGTGGTGATACTTTTTGGTCGGCGGCTCCAAGGCAACGGTCAAGGAGCGGAAGCGGCGTCTGGGATGCGGCACGGTGCGAATTTGCGAACACAGCCGCCAAAGTTGGCAAGCCAGTTCGCACCTGCACAGCAAGAGCGCAGTTGCACATGCACAGAACAAAATGAACTAAATTCACAAGCAAACGCACGTAGGCGCCGCAGCGTGAACCGAAGTAAACGAGCTGCAGAATGTGCGAATGCAGCGGGGTGAGTCGCTGGTTTGGCGCCAAACTCCAACCCACCTGCCCACGCCGAACTACTGAACGGTGAAGCCGGACAGAGCGCGGTGGAAAACACGAGCCTACGCGAGCGCAGAGGCCGAACCACTCAGCGCTCTGTCCTCAGAATCCTCCGCCCAGCCGGGGGGGGGCCAGCGGCAACCAAGGCGCACCGAGTCCGGCGCCTGGGGCGGATAGCCCGCTGGCGGCCGAGACGGCGCGCGGGGGAAACCACAGGCTGCACAGTGGCTGCACCACTCAGAGCCAGGCCCCCCGGAGCACAACTCCCATCGCCGATGGGAGCCAGCGACAGCCCAAGGCGCCACTGTGCCACCGGCTCCTGCCGCGAAGAGGTCCGACAGGATGCAGCCCCGCCGACATTTGCTGAGGGTCGGCACATGGTGGTGGAGACGTCAGCGCTGCCTGCCAGGAGGGTCCTTCTGACGTGACCATCACGGCGTCGCCAGTCACCTGGCGCGCCCAGGGGCGGCTGCAACCCGCGGAGAGCACCTTCGCTGAGGAAAGGGGGGCGCAGCTGACCGCCGCAAGAAACCATTAACATCGTTAGCTGCTACTCGCCGAGAGCACCTGCGCATAGAGAGGGGGGCGCAGCTGACCGCCGCAAAGCACCATTTACATCGTGGGGGGTGGCAGCACCTCGCGGCTGAGGTCCCAGCTGGAGCGAGCCAGCAGCGGGATGCGCCTCATGGGGGGGCATTGCGCCGCAGCTATACGCACCGGAGCTGCAGCTGCCAAAACTGGGGCCTGGGACACCAGGCCGGGCGGCGCGAAGGGGGGGGAGCTGTTTCAGTCGACTTCCCCCTGCCACCGAGAGTGGGTGGCTGTCGCGGCTGGACAGCAAAGGGGCGCGCAGGGCGGGGGGGGGGGGGGCATCTGCTGTCGCCCCCTTGTCACCGAGGGAGAGTGGCTGTCGCCGCGGGACAGCAAAGTAGGTGGTCCCGGGACCGGCAAGCCCTGCGGGCTAGTCCCCAGCTGCGAAGGGGGGTGGGACGTCCGGGCAAGGGTCCACTTCTCCAGCGTGGGCTGTCTAGCTATGCAGCGCCATGGGTGAGATGCGGGGAGACCCCCACCCCAGCGGGAGTTGCCTCAGGGCATTACGGCTGAGGCCGGGCGCCGCGAGGCGAAACAATCCCCAACGGGGAGCAGTGGGGGGGGGGGAGGGGGGGGCGTAGGCGACGGGCCAGGAGGGCTGGGGGTGCGCTGACAGGCTGACCGGGCCCTGCTAGCCCTGGGCGTACGAGTCCTCCCTGCCCCACCATCGGGCGCGCTTGTCTGTGTATCGATCGTCCCCCCTGGGGGAGTAACGCTTACCTTTTCCTTTCCAGTCCGTTTCCGTCCACGGGGCTTTCTGGTGGCCCCAGGAGTTCCACTCCTGCCAGTCCTGCCACCGGATGGGGGTGGCAGAGCCGACGGCGCCTGCCCAACGATCATGCACGGCCGCCGCCGTGGCTGACCTGCCCTCTGCCGTCCATGGGGCGGGTCCACTGCTGCTGTCGGGCCCGCGTTGAGCGTGGGCTCGGGGTTCGCGGTGCGTGAGCTTCATGTGCTTGTCCTTCTCTGACGGCCAGTGGACGCTGAGCCCTAGGTCGCTGTCCATCTTGTAGGCGTCATACCCTGCGTCGTCCCAAGCCTGGAGGAACTCGCTGCACGACTGAATTGTGTTCCGCTTAGGGTCGTGCTTTTCGCTTCCGCCGATCCCCTGCCTCAGGGCGGCCCCCTTCACCCATGCGGCCCGAGCTCCATTGAACGCTCCCCCCAACGTCTTTTGCAGGCGTATTATCTTATCCTGCACGGGTTCTTTCTTTGCAACGTCTGCATCTGTAACGGGGCACATGTACATGGGGATGCCTCCCATGGGGTCGTTTGGGTCCTCTCGGGGTGGCTGCATGGTCCTTACGTCCTTCCAGGGCGCCTCGCAGATCTGCACTCGCGCTGGGTCGCCTCTTGGGGATTTGGTGGCACGGCCATCCCTGTCCTTGGTGTCTTCCCACACGGGTCGCTGGCGGCCCTTGTCACCGCTCGCGCGGCTGAGGGTGCGGTCGTCCCTAGCGTCGCTGATGCTCCAGTCTGCGCTGCCTGCTCTTTGTGGGCTGTCTCTCGCGCTCCTGACTACACGGATGGCGTCCCGCTCAACGATCCGATCGTATGGGGACCAGGCGTCGGGCCGGTTGGGTGGGTCCGGGAAGAGGTTGAGGGGGTCAGGACCTTCCTCTTCTCCCTCATCCGCCACTGGGGTTGGGCTGACCGCCGGGCTCGGGTCCTTGGCTGTGTCTGACTCGCTTTTCTTGTCCCCGTCCCCGCCCCAGTCGATCCCATCCGGTTCGTGTGGTGATACTTTTTGTTGGCGGCTCCCAAGCGAAGGTCAGGAAGCGGGGCAACGAACCGTGTGGTGATACGCGAAGCGTCAAAAATGTCAATTTTAGGTGGCATAATTAAAAAAGGTCCCACCCACTAATTACGGAATGCTGCATGCACTTATGCTCGTGCCTTGCACATCTCAAGGAATACGCTCACGTCTCACAGCCACATCCTCCACGTACTCCTCCCCCTCCTCCCCTCTTCATCGTCATCAGCACATCATCATCATCATCATCATCATCATCATCATCATCATCATCACCACCACCACCACCATCATCATCATCATCACCATCATCATCATCATCATCATCATCAGCATCAGCGTCAGCATCAGCATCATCATCTTCATCATCAGCAGCAGCATCCTAATCATCCTCATCATCATTACCATTATCATCATCATCATCATCATCATCATCATCATCATCATCATCATCATCATCATCATCATCATCATCATCATCGTCATCATCATCATCATCATCATCATCATGCCGTCAGGCCGAGGCAATTTTCAAATGCCTCGCCACCGCGGATAAGCGGTGCAGCCTGGGCTCCGTGTGGCACCGCCTGAATGCGGTGTGGGTCCGATGATGTCAGATCCTTATCCCGCCCGCGTTCCGGGTGCGATAAGGATAGGGCGGAGGGCGGCACTTCCCCCTGGGAGGTTCGTGGTCGTTCGTTGTCGTCCTTCGTGTCTCGTTTCGTCGTCGTGTCCGTCGCCCTTTTCCTCTTTGGGAGTTGCGGCACGGCCCTGGATTAGGTTCCAGGGTGGACGTTGTTTGCGCTCCTGGGCCGGAGAGTGGCCCCCTCCCCCTCCCCCTCCCTGCTGCCGCTGCTGTGCCGTTGCAGCTGTCAGGCCAGGGCTTTTAGTGCCCTGCCACCTCGGCCAAGAGGTGCGGCCTGGGCGCGGGAAGACCCCAGTGGCACCTCCTGGTCTGAGGTGTACCGCCGTTTGACGACCACGGAGGCGGGGCCCGCGGCTTTCCGCCTGTAACCTCTTGGTTGCAGTGCTCTTTGCCGCGGGCACACTGTTGCCGTGCTTGTGAGGGTGCGGGCGCTGGGCAACGCTCCGTGTATTGTCCCTTGGGCGCCGATCCCGAACCCCCGTGCGCCATTTTGGCGCGGGGTGTAGGGCGGTCCTTGGTTTTGCTTTCTTTTCCTGGATTTCCTCCCTAAGGCACAGCGTGTCTGGCGCTATTGGGAGTTAGTCAAGGAAAGGAGGCCGGAGGTCAGGTCCCAGCTTGTGTCCGTGATCCCCTCTTTTTGCGCGTGTGCCCTTTGGTGTTGGCCGTTGGCCACTTTGGCCGTTGGCCAGGGCACGTTGGCCCGCGCTTTGCTGAGCGCCACGGTTTTGTTCTGCCTTTTGGGCCTGCAACATATCATCATCATCATCATCATCATCATCATCATCATCATCATCATCATCATCATCATCATCATCATCAGCATCATCATCGTCATCGTCATCATCATCGTCATCGTCCTCAGCATCATCAGCATCCGCATCATCACCGTCATCATCAGCATCATCATCCTCCTCATCATCGTCAGCAGCAGCATTGTCGTCATCATATTCTCTTCATCACCATGATCAGCAACATCATCATCAGCAGCATCAGCATCAACATCATCATCATCATCAGCATCATCATCAGCAGCATCATCATCATCCGCATCATCAGCATTATCATCGTCGTCATAAGCGTGATCATCATCGGCATCAGCATCGTCATCATCATTGGCAGCATCTTCATCAGCGACAGCGTCAGCATCATCAACAGCAACAGCATCTTCGTCGAGCTCAACCTGGTAGCATCTGGGGTCGGTGAAAAGCCCTGCCAGGCCTCCTCCTCCTCCGTCACCTACTCTTCCTCCTCCTCCAGCTCATCATCATCATCATCATCATCATCATCATCAGCAGCAGCAGCATCATCAGCAGCATCAGCATGAGCATTAGCGTCATCATCAGCAGCCGCATCAGCATCATCATCAGCATCATCAGAATCACCATCATCGTCATCGTCATCGTCTTCGTCATCATCAGCGCCATCATCATGACCAGCATCATTATCATCATCAGCATCAGCTCCAGCATCAGCATCAGCATCACGAGAATCGTCATCATCGGCATCAGCATCGGGAGCATCATCCTCAGCATCAGCATCATCAGCATCAGCATCAGCATCAGCATCATCATCATCATCATCATCATCATCATCATCATCATCCTCAGCAATATCATCAACATCATAGTCATCATCGTCATAAGCATGATCATCACCCGTGTCGTCATCACCACCGTCATCGTCATCGTCATCAGCAGCAGCATCATCATCATCATCAGGATCAACATCGCCATCATCATCGTCATCGTCATCATCATCATCATCATCATCATCAACATCATCATCATCATCATCATCATCACCATGTTCATCATCATCAGCATCATCATCAGCAACGTCCGCAGTGTCGTCATCGTTATCGTCAGCATCATCAGCATCAGCCTCATCATCAGCTTCATCATCAGCATCATCATGATCATCAGTTTCACCATCATCGTCATCATCATCATCACAGTCCTCATCATCATTAGCAGCAGCAACAGCATCATCGTCGCCGTCATGATTATCAGTGTCAGCATCAGCATCAGCTTCATCACCATCGTCATCGTCATCAGCGGCAGCATCATCATCAGAAGTAACAGCAGCAGCATCATCAGCATCATCAGCCTCATCATCAGCAGCAGCATCGTCAGCATCATCATCAGCATCAGCATCAGCATCAACATCATTATCATCAGCATCATCAGCAGCAGCAGCATCATCAGCATCGGCATCATCGTCGAACTCGAGCTGGTAGCATCGGGGTTCGGTGACGAGCGCTGCCAGACCTCCTCATCCTTCTCCTCCTCCTCCCTCCTCCTCCTCCTCCTCCTCCTCCTCCTCCTCCTCCTCCTCCTCCTCCTCCTCCTCCTCCTCCTCCTCCTCCTCCTCCTCCTCCTCCTCCTCCCTCCTCCTCCTCCTCCTCCTCCTCCTCCTCCTCCTCCTCCTCCTCCTCCTCCTCCTCCTCCTCCTCCCCCTCCTCCTCCTCCTCCTCCTCCTCCTCCTCCTCCTCGCCCTCCTCCTCCTCCTCGGTGCGAAAGGGGCACGGCGCGGCGCGGCCCAGACCGCCCCCGGCGGGGGCAGGGGAGTCTCCTCCTCCAGCGAGTCGATCGACACGGTCTGCACGTGGTGCGTGAAGTCCTTGGGCGGCCAACAGTCAAAAATTCGCCGGCCCAACGGGCCAGAGGCGTGCTAAGATCTCCGGTAACTGGTTAACAATTGTATGTATTGTACTAGTTCGCGCGCGCGGGGCGGCCCCTGGGGGTCCCCCGGCGAAAAGTACCCCGCCCGCCGCCTGGGAAGGTCCCGCCCGGTTCAACTCAGAGATGGTTTTCCTTCTGGGTGCGGCCTCTCAGGCCGCCCTGAGCGCGCCAAGAGTGCCCCAAGAGGCCCCCAAGATTGCTCAAGAGGCCCCCGAGACGTTCAAAGAGCGCTCCAAGGCGCCGAAGATGACCCCAAGACGGCCCAAGAGACCCCCAAGACAGCCGAAGAGGCCTTCAAGACGCCCCAAGAGCCTTCCAAGAGGCCTCCGAAGAGGGCCCCAAGAGGCCAAAATCGTTGATTTTCATTGGTTTTTCCTATGTTTTTTGCGTTCTGGCTTTTTCGGCTTCCGGACGCTCCAAGACGACCCAAGAGGCGCCCAAGATCGCTCCAAGACGGCCCACGAAGCTCCCAAGACGGCCCCGAAACGGCCCAAGAGGGCCCCCAAGACGGCCCAAGTGCCGCCCAAGACGGACCAAGAGGCCCCAAGACGGGCCCAAGAGGGGCTCAAGAGGGATACAGAGAACTGAAAAATCGAGCCCTCCGCCCCAGAAGGCGCCCAGGAGGCCCCAAAAAGGCCCCAAGAGGCCCCCAAGAGGCCCCCAAGACGCCCCAAGAGGCGCCCAAGAGGCCCAAAAGAGGCCCCAAGAGGCCCCAAAACGGCCCCCAAGAGGCCCCAAAACTCGGCTAGCCCACAACGGTGCGACAATATGGGCCGGCGGAATGAGCGAAGCGATTAAATTATCCCAAAAATGCTCAAAAACAGTCGAAAAATTGTCCCCAGACGATTCAACTATTTTTGCATATTCCTCCTGTAGAGAGACACGCCCGACTTCAGAGTAGGCCGTTTGCGAGTAATGGAACGCGCTCGGTGAATCGGGAGCGGCTACGAGGGGGTTGTCCAAGAGGGGGGCGTGCAAATCATGACCGGCGGCCATGTGCGCGGCCCAGCGGGGGGGCCAGGGACGCAATGAAAGCAAGAAGCGGCGCCATGAAATCTGGCGAAACATCATGGCCCACGCCATGATATCCAACCCCCCCTAGTCATCCCCCCCCCTCTTTTCCGCCCCCGAGCTGGGAGGAGCACCGACCTCCTTTCGCAGCGAAGCATAGAAAACAGCTGAAGGTGCCTGCGCATTCTAGACTCTGGCTTTGGGGGCCCGTTGGGCCTCGAGGGGGGTGCTCTGGAGGCTGTGGGGACTTCCTCTTGGCCATCCTGGGGGCACCTTGAGCCAGGGACACCTCTGGCAGCACCCGAACTGATTGGTTTCCAGGGGCCCTCGCCGGGCCCCCGAGGACGTCAAAACACTGCTCGGGGTGAACAACACGGTCCGGGGGCAGAGGTAGAAACCTCAGGGGGGGCACGCTGTGAAGTTACCCGAGGCGTACCCAGCCCCTTCTCCACGAAGGAGGCGACTATGTGTATGAACACTCCATACAAAACAACACGTCGCCAGATATGCACGGTCTGCGCTGCCCTCGCCTCCACCGTACTTCCCATAGGGACAAAAAATAATTATCTTCCGCTGGTCGGCCTGTAGATTTGTTGTACTGGCCCTCATGCCCAAATGGTCGCTGATCACAATGAGGCCGATATCTGCGCGACGCGATGCCAAATGTGCGAATCGATCGAGCTTGCGATTTGAAGGAGTCCACGAAAGTGGTGACGGTTACGCAGTTCGCAGCCACCTGAGGAGAAACGAGGTCCTAAATGGATCCACGTGGCCCCCGACTCCGCTGGACCTCACAGGAGCCAAAGAAGCCTGTGACCATCGTGTCGCAGCATCCTAGGGAGCAGCGAGGTTCCAAATGGATCCGCGTGGCCCCTGACAACACTGGACCTCCCAGGAGCCCACGAAAATATGACAGTTGCGCAGTTCGTAGCCAAGCCAGGGCGCAGCGAGGTCCCAAATAGATCCGCGTGACCCCCGACTCCGCTGGACCTCCCAGGAGCCCAGGAAACATGTGACAATTGTGTCGCAGCATACTAGGGAGCAGCGAGGTCTCAAATGGATCAGCGTGGCCCCCGACTCCGCTGGACCTCCCAGGAGCCCAGGAAAGTGGTGACAGCTGCGCAGTTCGCAGCCATCCAAGGAGCAGCGAGGTCCCAAATGGATCTGCGTGACCCCCGACTCCGATGGACCTCCCAGGAGCCCCGGAAACATGTGACAATTGTGTCGCAGCCTCCTAGGGAGCAGCGAGGTCCAAAATGGGTCCGCGTGGCCGCTGACAATACTGGACCTCTCAGGAGCCCACGAAAATATGACAGTTGCGCAGCTCGTAGCCAAGCCAGGACGCAGCGAGGTCCCAATTGAATCCGCGTGACCCCCGACTCCGCTGGACCCCACAGGAGCCCAGGAAAGTGGTGACAGCTGCGCAGTTCGCAACCACCCAAGGAGAAACGAGGTCCCAAATGGATCCGCGTGACCCCCGACTCCGCTGGACCTCACAGGAGCCCACGAAAGTGGTGACAGCTGCGCAGTTCGCAGCCTCCCAGGGAGCAGCGAGGTCCCAAATGGATCCGCGTGGCCCCCGACTCCGCTGGACCTCCCAGGAGCCCAGGAAAATGGTGACAGTTGCGCAGTTCACAGCCTCCCAGGGAGCAGCGAGGTCCCAATTGGATCCGCGTGGTCCCCGAACTCCGCTGGACATCCCAGAAGCCCAGGAAGGTGGTGACAGCTGCGCAGTTCGCAACCACCCAAGGAGAAACGAGGTCCCAAATGGATCCGCGTGGCCCTTGGCTCCGCTGGACCTCCCAGGAGCCCAGGGAAGTGGTGACTGTTGCGAAGTTCGCAGCGCTCGGGGGAGCCACGAGGTCCCCACATGGATCCGCGCTGCCCTCACATCCGCCGTGCCTCCCAGGAGCCCGCGAAAGTGGCGACAGTTGCGCAGTTCGCAGCCTCCCAGGATGCAGCGCAGGAGGATGCAGGAGGATGCAGGAGGATAAGGAGTCGCGACCGCGGTATCTTATTAAAAACGCGTACCCAACGCAGGAGGGTTGGGAAAAAAAGCTACGTCGGAGAGAAGAGGGAAAGGGGAGGAGGGAAGAGAGAAGGAGGAGGAGGAGGAGGAGGAGAAGGAGGAGGAGGAGAAGGAGCAGGAGGAGAAAGCCGAAGAGGAGGAGAAGGAGAAGGAGGAGAAGGAGGAGAAGAAGGTGGGGGAGGGGAAGAGGAGGAAGCGGAAGAGGAAGAGAGGGCGGAGCAGCAGCAGCAGCAGCAGGAGTAGTAGTAATAGTAGTCGCAGTCGTAGTCGTAGTCGTAGCCGTTGCCACAGTAGCAGTAGTAACAGCAGCAGCAGTAGTGGTAGTGGTAGTACTACTAATAGTAGTACGAGTAGTAGTAGTAGCAGTAGTAGTAGTAGTAGTAGTAGTAGTAGTAGTAGTGGTGGTAGTAGTAGTAGTAGCAGCAGCAGAACCAGCAGGAGGAGTAATAGCGGTAGTAGTAGTAGTAGTAGTAGTAGTAGTAGTAGTAGCAGTAGCAGTAGTAGTAGTAGTAGCAGTAGTAGTAGCAGTCGCAGCAAAAGTAGCAGTAGTGGTAGCAGTAGTCGTATTAATAGTAGTGGTAATAGTAGTAGTAGTAGTAGTAGTAGTAGTAGTAGTAGTAGTAGTAGTAGTAGTAGTGGTAGTAGTGGCAGTAGTAGTAGCAGTAGTTGTTGTTGTAGTAGTAGTAGTAGTAGCAGTAGTAGTGGTGGTGGTAGGTAGTAGTAGTACAGTAGTAGTAGTACTAGTAGTAGTAGTAGTAGTAGTAGTAGTAGTAGTAGTAGTAGTAGTAGTAGTAGTAGTAGTAGTAGTAGTAGTAGTACTAGTAGTAGTAGTAGTATAGTAGTAGTAGTAGTAGTAGTAGTAGTAGTAGTAGTAGTAGTGGTCGTAGTAGTAGTAGTAGTAGTAGGAGGAGGAGGAGGAGAAGGAGGAATAGTAGTAGGAGTCGCAGTAGTAGTGGTAGTAGTAGTAGTAGTAGCAGCAGCAGCAGTAGTAGTAGTAGTAGTAGTCACAGCAATAGTAGCAGTAGTAGCAGTAGTAGCTGCAGTAGTAGCAGCAGTAGTAGTAGTAGTAATAGTGGTAGTAGTAGTAGTAGTAGCAGCAGCAGTAGTAGTAGTAGTAGACGTAGTGAAAGTAGTAGTAGTAGTAGTAGCAGCAGTAGTAGCAGTAGCGGTAGCAGTAGCAGTAGTAGTAGTAGTAGTAGTAGAGTAGTAGAAGTAGTAGTCGCAGTAGTAGTAGTAGTAGTAGTAGTAGCCATAATAGTAGTAGCAGTAGTAGCAGTAGTAGTAGTAGTAGTAGTAGTAGCAGTATTGACAATAGTAGTAGTAGCAGTAGCAGTAGTCGTCGTAATAGTAATCGTCGTCGTAGTCGTAGTCGTAGTCGTAGTAGCCGCAGTAGTCGTAGTAGTCGCAGTAGTCTTAGTACTCGTAGTGTAAAAAGTGATAATGGTAGTAGTAATAGTAGTAGTAGTAGTAGTAGTAGCAGCAGCAGTCGCGGTAGCAGTAGCAGTAGCAGCAGTAGTCGTAGTAGCAGTAGTAGTAGTAGTAGTAGTAGAAGTAGTAGTAGTAGTAGTAGTAGTAGTAGGAGTAGGAGTGGTAGTAGAAGTAGCAGCAGCAGTAGTAGTTGTAGTAGTAGGGGTAGTGATAGCAGAAGCAGTAGTAGTTGTAGTAGTAGCAGTAGCAGTGGCAGTAGCAGTAGCAGTAGCAGAAGCAGTAGTGGTGGTAGTAGCAGCAGTAGTAGTAGTAACAGTAGCAGGAGTGGTAGTAGCACTACTAGAAGTAACAGTACTGGTACGAGTAGTAATGATAGGCAATGATTATAATACTAATTATAACACCGGGAATCAGAATTCTAATGTTAAACTAAACGCAATGACAACAGCAACAACAACAACATCAACAGC